AAGGTCCCTAGGAGCACATTGAAACCTTAAAATGCTAACTCCACCAGCTCCTTGTTAATATTAAACAACCCACCAGCTTTGCACATGGTTCTAAGCAAAATTAGCTCTCTCCAGTTCTTCCCTCCTGGATCTGCCCAGCATATTTTAACTTCAGAAGGTTCTTGTTTTGCTTCTTTCATTAGAAAAGGCAGAGTCCCAAAGGGAAGACTGCAGCACTCAAGGGCTTTTTGGTGGCTTTTTACACCCCTCCCCCAGCCCTCACACTGCCTTCCCAAAGCTGGGTAAGTAAGGCATTGGGCTTTGAGAAGGAGGCGTGAGGGCTCTGAGAAGGTCCTAGAGTCCTCTCACCTCTTTCCCAAAGCCTAGTTAGCGGGTTTCATGTCAAAGTACTCTTGCGGCACACTTGGTATGAAAAGTCCAACTAAGCCCTACTCAGACACATTGAAACTATGTTGGGCATGTTAATTGATTTCAACGGGTCATCTCTGAGTAGGACTAATGTTGGATGCAACTTCTGATGTCTGTTCAAAGCAGGCAACAGTCTTCCCCAACTTTCAACTGGTCAGTTACTGCAGTAACCTTGCATTCCACAAAGCACTTGTTTCAATATTTTAATGAGATATCTGATACTGTATGTTACAGAACATACAGACTCTGAAAGAGAGAAGAAATTGTTTTAAAGTGAAAAAACAAGCTACAGAGCCACAAATTTATCTGCCTGAAATGCCCATTATTTATTTGTTTGTTTGTTTAATTTATGAATCGCTTCCTATGAAACCTCTCAGTGATTTCACTAGACAATAACAAACCATATACATAAGAGTTTCATATATAAAAAGGTTATATATGAAAACAATTGCATCTATGCAAACAATTCCGATTAAATTATAATGGGTTACCCATTACAACACACTTTTAAAAAACACCCAAGTCTTCCATTTAGCTTTCATGCTCTTATTTAGAACATTACCATCACATTATCGCTTATAAAACATGGAACACAAAAAGGCATTAGCTGTTCCTCATATGGTTTATGAGATGGAATACCAGAGTCTGGAGACAAACGTTGGGACAGCAATGGCCTTCATGTTCCAGTGCCACTTCTAGACTTCCCAGAAATCTAGAGGCCCACTACTGGAAACAAGTCATTGGGCTTGGAACGCTGGACTGATGTGGCAGAATCTTCTTATGTTTATATAAACTGATATAGCATTAGAGTCCAACATCTTTGTCATTTTATAAAAAAAAACCAAAAACCTCTGCGGAAACGGGGGACACTATTATCCTCCCCTTAACCAGAAAAAATACAAGGCATCACTGTGTCTCTACAGTTAGCATGAGACTATTAGCATTTATACAACTAGAACAAATCAATACAAAGTTATCCTCATATGTTTAGCTGCCTTGGCAACAACATCAGCACTCCACAGGGAAATTTTGTACACTAACTAGTAACTGATGAGTTCTGCTCTTAATATGCTGAACATTCCTTGGAGTCATTTGTGAGGCTGTGAGTTGGAATTGCAAAAAGCAGTTTTTGCAACCCAGAAGAATTGCCAAACAAAATGTGGGAAAGCCAAAGACTCTCAAAAGTTTTTTCCCCCCTTCCGTCTTTGGAATGTGCTCCGAGTGTCCCTCTCCAATAGGAAGATGTTAATTTCTTTATGTATAGAATTATTATTAATAGCAGCCCAGTTTTCCAAACTCAAATTAATTCCAAAGATGAAAAGTGATACTCTTGCCAAGCTAACCAAACATTCTTGGCTTTGATTTTGTTGTCACTCAGAGGCCAGGGATCTGTTATGTATCTATATGGAAGACACTTTATGCTGACTAGAAATATCACATTACCATACAGCTTCAAACAGTTCCTAATGTATTCCTGGAAATGCCAGAATGCTATTTCATTAATGAGAATCAGGGCCTGAATCCTAATTCTGAATTTTTGGAGGCCTGAAGTCAAAGCTGATAATTAAAGATTACTCTAAAAACCCATGGATTGCTTATTGGAAAGTACTTCATAACAGCATTCCCCAGTTCATTTTCTGATGTCAGGATTTTTTAAAGTTACCCTTTCCAACGATGTTTTTCCATTAACATCAACATAGCTGCAGAAGACTGGGGTGGGGGTGGGGAGATGGGGATTTCTTGGACCCAGCCAATTCTTATGACTATAATAATAATAAATATAATGAAAGAGGAAATGCAAGATTCTAACTGCACAAAGACTTTTTGGACTGGAGTAGGACACAACCTGGGCCACCAACAAAAACACTGAGTGCATTGCATATAAAAATCAATAAATGTTTTCTGAAATTGGCATCACTATGGTGGATGCCAAGTAAATTAGTAATGACGGGACACTTAAAAATTAAGCAGATTTATATGCATTTGCAATTATTATCCAAAAAGCAGTAGAGATTGCCAAGAAAGATGGAGACAGTACTTTAGTATTGGGTTTGTTAATGGGTGAGCTAATACACTTTTAAGTCTTTAAAACAAAACAAAAATAATATTCTCCGTGCATCAAGTATTTATAAAAGGATTCTCTGTCTTTTCATTCTAGGCAGCTAATGAAGAAGGTCGACTAGAATGGCCAGGACTGTGTGTTAAGGCCTGGAGCTTATCCCAAATAATTTCAGTAGCTATAACACGTCATCTTAACGTAATAATTTTCTATTATTTATTAAATTTATATGCCACCCTTCATTCAAAGATCATACGGCAGTTTACAACATAAAAATACAAAATGCATAACATAACAACACGAAAACAGTAACACCCCCCGACACATTTAAAAGGCCATAGAACGTTTAACAGCCAATGACGTAGGCTAAAGATTTTATTGATAGTTCCAAGCACTGCTGTTTCTTTTGTCCCTTTCCTAATAAACTCCCTTTTCTTGGTTAAGACCTGAAGTTTTTCCTCTGCCTTTCCTTCCTTCAAAAGTTATTGTGGCACTCAAATACCGAGACCATGGATGAGGAACCTGTGACTCTCCAGATGTTGTTAGACTCCAATTCCCATCAACCCCAGCCAGCATGGAAAATGGTTAGGGATTATAGGAGCTGTAGTGCAGCAACAACTGGAGGACCACAGCTTCTGCTGATCTAGACCACTGGTTCTAAGTGATACACACTAGCTCCTGTTAATTTGGCTGAGGTACTAGTTTTCTAAACCAGCTCTTCTGGACTGATAGTAGTCCACGCTCCAGTGAGAACAGAGCTGGGGACAGCAGAGGGAAGTGGCTCCCATAATACCAGAATAATTTCTCAAACATCAGTTGTTCCTAAAGGATTAGCAATTGGGATGCGGAATCGGGTTCAGACACAAATGTACCTTAGTAGGTATGCTAACACCCTCTCAGAGGCAAGGTTAACTGAAATGCAACATAGCAACTATGAGGAGGATAACAAGACTGGCACAGACAGAATTTCAGTTGTAATAAATATTATTAGCTGTAATATTGCAAATTTACAGTGTTACTGCAATGGTTATTTAGAAACAGTCCCACCACTAACTGCATAGTAATAAAAACAGTATAACAACTATGTATTTATTTTAGCATCTAATGGATGCTAAAATCAGCGTCCAGCATGTATACATATTGCAGCTTACAGACAGAAGGTAAGAAAGTTATCATCAAAGGAATAAAATGGGGTGGCTCATTAAGCTGATTTTGCAACTGCCTTGACTGCATTTATGAAGTGGAGTGTGCAATCTAAAATTAGATGAGAGAGTATATAGCACTGGGGAAAGAAGGAATAGATACAGTTTGTGCTTCAAGGCTGATATCCTGCACTTAATTACACAGACATAAGTCCCAAGGAACTGAAGAGAACTTAATGCATACATGTCTACGGAGCTTACGTTTGGAAATGATTCAAAGTACACACTCAAATAAATTACTCATTGCCAAATGCTCGAGAAAGGATTCATAACAAGATGGTTCTTTATTTTTACTATGAATATAAAAAGGGTGATAGATTTACAAATAACCCTTTGAATCATGAGGGACTGGTCACAAACAATACAGAAAGTGATCAATAGTATCTGAACAAAATGGGAGACACAATTATGGTTGTTTACATCCAAGCATGGAAGAATCAATGTCAATGTAAACAGGCCTCTTAACCTTCTCCACAATGAAAAGGAGGTGACTGAGGTCTTAAAAAGTCAACTGAAATTGATTCTAGTCAGCTGGTATGAATTAGATGGGTATAACTTCCAGCAGCAGTATTTACTGCAGATATTCCCAGCTCTAGCCAATGTGGGAAATACCCTGATAACCAGGACTGAAGTTCAGAGCTATTTTAGAAATTTTCAGTAAAAAAGAAAATGGAAGTTACTAGACAAGTCCCGTTTATCTAGATGTCATCACTGTGTAGGAGTTCTTGCATATTCCCATTACCCCAAATTGATTTCTGAAAGGAATTTTTTTTCCAGCTTCCTATTTAGATAACAGAGGGAGGGGGGGGCAAAACTCAGCATATATGCCCTTTGTGCATCTCCACCCCCATCATTCAGCCCGGACACTGAGGTCCTCCTCCAAGGGTCTTCTGGCGGCATAGCTGTCAACGTTTCCTTTTTTTAAAGGGAAATTCCCTTATTCTGAATAGGATTCCTCGCAAGAAAAGGGGAAAGTTGACAGCTCACTGTGAGAAGCAGGGTTACAGGGAACCAGGCAGAAGGCCTTCTTGGTAGTGGCACCCACCCTGTGGAACGCCCTCCCATCAAGGAAATAAACAACTATCTGACTTTTAAAAGAGATCTGAAGGCAGCTCTGTTTAGGGAAGTTTTTAATGTTTGATGTTTTATCGTGTTTTTAAAATTCTGTTGGGAGCCGCCCAGAGTGGCTGGGGAAACCCAGCCAGATGGGCGGGGTATAAATAATAAATTATTATTATTAGTCTTAATCAATCTAATTTGATGCTTTTAGAACATGCCATTTTCTGCATGCACACATCCTGCTTTTCCTAATTTTGAATCTCAGTTTTTACCTTGTTCCAGGTACTTCCACATCAACTGCAGCAGTAAAATAAGTACGGATGTTCTTTAAAAGTAATTTTTTTAATGGTCCTGAAATTAAGAGAGAGAGAGCTTATTTTGGAACGTATCCTAGTTTCTTCTGTTATTTTCACAGACACCTAATGATCAGTCTAACAGCGTCTCTCACTGAAGTTGTAATAAGCTTACAAATGAAGTTGTTCAGTGCATATTAAAAGGCAAGGGATGTTCCTATTGATTATAGTACTTGCGGGAAAATCTGTGATCATTGTTTTGTTGCTTGCACAATGGCAATTCGGATGTGATGCTGGGAGGCCATTCAGCTGACAGGGGCTGTGGATTTTGGAGGCATCTTAGAATACCATGGTAACAAATTCGTCTCCACTTTTTGGAGCACAAAATCAATGGGGATTCTTGTTACCATCAAGCCCAGTTGAGCATAGTTCTGTGCTTCTAGGAATTAGGCAATGAAAAAGGTCTAATTAAGTTGTTCCCACAAGAGCCTTGACCACATTTATGAAGTGGAATGACAAAGCTCTAGACTAGACCTCCATAAATCCAGTGGTGAATGTCAAAATGAACATAGGGCTCCCTTTGTTATTATCCCTCTGCAAAGCTTAGTCCTCAGGGCTCAAAGAGCCATCTGCTCTATTTGGTCTTCGTAATGTATTTTCAGCAACAGAGTGGCACTACTTAAAGAGAACAAACTGTATATACCTTCAAATGCTCAGACATTGTTTTTCTAGGATTCTGTTTCACACTTTCAAGATTTCTGGAGGCCTTGTAAGGAGATCACTGCTATAACCCAACTTGCTAGGTGTATCTCTTTTTTAAAAATGAGTGGTGATAGTTTCAACTCTCATGAAGAGGATTCTCAGCCCATTTATTAGAACAGTATTTTTCTTTTCCACAAAATCCCCCCCCCAAAAAAAAATCCATCATGGAACTCCACAGAAATAGCCAAAACCCTGAAACAGTCACCATAAGATATAAAAGCCATTAAAAATAACAAAAGTAAGGAAATTATTTTGCACTCAGAGACTGCTTATCTACATTTCCTGACTCTCCAAGGCAGATCTGAGGTTCTGGGAGCAGTACAGTTAACTCTGAACCAGCTCTGTTCACGTCACACAAAGCCCAAATTGCTCTTTAAAAAATCCACATCAGTTTTCAGTTCAGGCTTTGTCTGAAGCAGATGCCCACTTCTTACATATTGGAGCCAAATAAATGAGTAAATAAGAATAGTTCTCATTGGTTTTCACTAAATGTAACAATTAAGATCTGAATTAGAAGGGAAATCTGCATTGCTGATTAACTTCTGAAGACAGTCCTGCTTTCATAATCTGAAATATATAAATATATATTGAGAGAAGGAGGGGGGGGGGAGAGAGAGAATTCTTATTCATAAGAGAAAAAATAGGGAAAAAAATGCTTTTTTTGGTTAGGCTAAGTGGCAGGTCCATAGTTCTTGAAGAGAACAACTGCAAACTCCATTTTTTAAAAGAACAATGACGCCACAATCTTTTAAAAATGTCAATATATATTTAACCCTGAGTACTTTTAGAGCCCTTGTGACTCTACTGACTTCTTAGAGATTTCCATCCTTGCTGATGGAAGAGCGCTGGCATTGGTCTGGGTTTCTTTTCATTTCTGAATGTGTTTTATGGATTTTCATAGTCATACAAAATGGACAACAAAGACATGTAAATGAACACGTAACCCTCTCCCCATGAGTGCTGGCATTAGTTTCCCTTTGCTCCACACTGTCACATGACTGCCATGTAACTTATGTGATGAAATGCAATAGGTCAGTGTCATCTTGCATCCGCGAGACAATACTCCCTCTAGAATCATTGGCAGAAGCCAACTTCCTTTAGACCTAAATTTTGTTGATGGAGCAGTTCACTCTTGAAAAATCTCTGGCAAGACTGAGGGACAATTAGTGTCTGCAAAAGGAAAACATTCTCTGCTCAGCAAGAATTAAAGTTCAATTGGCTGCTTGCATGTGCCTTTTTGGCTTGGGACAAAAATCTATCTATCTATTCTTTATTTGGGCTTAAAAATGAACTCTTTAATTCGCCAATATGTTTAATTGTTTGAATGCACCTTAACTCTTCTTTACTCAGAGGGGCGCAGTCAGCCCTGCAAAACGAAGAAAGAACAATCTGTTTCCCTGCCACCATCTTGTTGGATTCCGTTCCTGTAAGGATAGTGATCCAATCCTTACAAGTCTTCCCATAGAGACATGTTCCTTTAGAATAGCTCTGGTGTGGGTCTGTGTCTGTGTACACATCACCATTTACTCTGGCTCCACTGCAGCTGTTTGAAGTTGAGTGGACAGGACATTCACCAGAATACATATGTATCCTGTATCCTGTGTGATGTGTTCCCCCTCTAACTGGCTTCCATCTGATGTGCAAACGTAAGCTGCAGTTATGCATACAGTTCAGACACCCGTTGCACCTGCGCAGATAACAGCTTCCATGAATAGGAAAGAGGATATTTTTGCATGCACAGGGAAACAAAGCAGGTACTGCACATCAGACAAATACACCAAAGCCCCCTCTCTAGTGTGTACAGCAAGTGAAAGTGAAAGTGGGGGGGGACACAACCTCACTTTGTTCTAAGCCACTAATGTGCACATAGCCTATCACAGCAGTGTCAGAACAATCATTGCATTTAGTTGAGAAAGTTATCTGTTATGTACTATTTGTTTCTTGACAGAATCTTGTTTGAACTTGCAACATATAAGCATGCAGTAAAAGGTAAAGGGTAAAGGGACCCCTGACCATTAGGTCCAGTCATCTCGCTCTATAGGCCGAGGGAGCTGGTGTTTGTCCGCAGACAGCTTCCAGGTCATGTGGCCAGCATGACTAAGCCGCTTCTGGCGAACCAGAGCAGTGCACGGAAACGCTGTTTACCTTCCCACTGGAGCGGTATCTATTTATCTACTTGCACTTTGACGTGCTTTCGAACTGCTAGGTTGGCAGGAGCAGGGACCGGGCAATGGGAGCTCACCCCGTCACAGGGATTTGAACTGCCGACCTTCTGATCAGCAAGCCCTAGGCTCTGTGGTTTAACCCACAGCGCCACCCGCGTCTCTTAAACATGCAGAGTGGTTTGTAAAAACAAATTTCTCGTCTCTTCTCACTGAAGCCCCTGAACCTCCCCAAAAAACCTCCTTCAGGCTTTACTCCTCTTCAGTGGGGGCTAGAGTGGGGAGGGACTGTCTGAAGTTGGGCAGAGGAATCTTTCTCCACTTGGAGCTCAGCTGGTACAAGATCTCTCTGCCGAGAGAGATCTTGGTTCATCTCCCCTCTCCCACTGCAACTCCATATGACAAAGCCTGACTGTTCAGAGAGGATTACCCTCTGGAAAAACTGGAGGAATATTGGAGCTGTACAGGAAAAGGGGAGAGAAATGCCTAACTATTCTCCCGTTCTGAAGCTTTTGGAATGACCATCAGACCAGTTGTCATTTGTTTAATCTAGTATCATTTATTGACTCTACACCTGTTTAAGTCAAGGAAGAATTTCTTCTTCAATCACAACAAAGATATTGTTGCATTTCCCCTTCAAAAGGAAAATGACTGACAAGGAGGAAGAAGAGGAGTTTAGTGTAATTTTGTGGGCAACTCTGTTCAAGTAGGAAACAACTTTACCAGGGCTCTCCTTTTCTACATCCAACTGCATTGCTTTTGGAACTAACCAGCAGCTGTAAACTTACCAAAAAACAAAAGCAAAGCCTCCACTGTTTTTCATTCATTGTAACTAGCCTCTGCACCTATCATCTTGAAATGGAGCAGGTTACTTGGAGACTTCTCTATGATGGATATTATTTTCATACAAATTCTCCCCAAAACACAGTGTGGCTGGGAATAAGCAAATGCAATTTCCCATCCTCAAAAACTTTATAAAGAGTTATTTGCACACACACTGGTCTGAAATTTGCAAGGCTTCATTCCAAGTATGCACTGAAATTTCATCAAATTCTATCAAAGTGGTTTTATATATTTTTAAAATAATTGCACAGCTCTTTTATTCATTCCCCCATGTAAATCAATCCAGAGATATATAATAGCTCAGATTTTCTGAAGCAAGCTTCTGGTTTGGATTAAAAAAAAATGTGTCATGTCCAAAGTGCTTTGAGTCAAATTGGCCCACTACACAAACATACACATATGTATGTGTGTCCTATATGTGTCATGTCATATAGCAACATCTTTATTACACATTTTGACGTCACCACAGCCTTAGAAACAGTGGTAACAAAAGGAGTTGCTACTATAAATGGCAAAACATAAGAAATCACAGGCATGAAAGGCTGTGCACTGTGGATTTTTCACAACCATCGATTACTATAATTTTTCAAAATTCCTAATGTACACAATTTATAACCAATCACCCATTTTAGCTGAGCTGTATTGTAAAACTGGGGCACATGTCACCTGCAGGCTGCACTTTGACCATTTCAGCTTCTAAGTGCTTTTACTCACTGCAGCTGAACATGTGTAGGTGACAAAGTCAATTTTCCCTCTGTCAGTTTGATGAGCCCCAAGTGCACTGAAGAATGAAGAGATGCAATGTTTCTAAGGGGAGCATCGCAGCTGGCGAAAGTGGAGCGTGCTCTTCACTGATGCTTTGCTTAGTTACAAAAGCTTGGTCATGAGGGTGTTTTTTTCCTATTTCTCCATCAACTCCAAGTTTGGGATCTCAAATGATACAAACTCTCTTGACTTACTTGCTGATTCAGGCCATCCCTTTTGCTTCCTACTTTTAGCAGTGCAGTCATTAATTCTACGTTGCAACACTATATTCTGTGCACTGCATCAATTCATGTAGCCTCTTTGGGGAATTCAAACAGCAACATGAAAAGACCCTTCATGTTTTGTTCTGGGAGGAAACCATAATCTCTGCTTTAAAGCTCATATCACAATTTATAAGGTACGGTTGAGCCCACAAAGCTATGTTTCTTTAAAAATCTGATTACTTTGTTATTGATTATTTACTGACATTTTAAAAACACAGAGGCTGCAAATATTAATATGGCAGAGGTACCATATTAACTTAGTA